CCTGCTGGAAAGTCAATTATCCAGTGAGTCCCATCAACTGAAAGATATTTAATGGGGGATTATTGCCACTTCTGTTATGTCAGCTGTTTATTACGGCAGATCAATTCCCAGCCCTCTCTAGGAAGAGATCTGAAGACTGGTTTTGTTCACAGGAGGATTCATCTGGGTGTCCTTTGCTGGCAGAGAATAAAAACACAGGGTTTTTTGCTAATTACGGTAACATTCAGCTGCTCCTAAACTCCCACTGATTGTTAACTCAGACCAACGAACCTATGTGAACAGTCAGGAGAAGACACAAGCCAGTCTCTCCAGGAGGCAGCAGCGATCTCCCACACCCAGCTTCGCACCCTCCAAGGCGGAACGATCTGTAGAGGGCTGAGCTGCTTTCTTCCATGTTAGTGCTCCATTATGAACCCAGAGAGCAAAACCGCTCATGGTGTTAAACCGGGTGCTCCGAGAAGCAAAGCGCTTGCTTTCACAGGGAACTTCGCTCATGCTGAGAGCTTATTCCGCTGCACTTGAGGACAGGGACAGGAAAGAGAAGGTGGCTGAAAGTAGGTACAATGCCCTACTGCCAGTGGGTTTGAACTTCATAAAATTCCCAGGAATTAAATTTTCCATGGGATTAAAAATTATTTAGAAGTTATTTGTTTTCTTTAAAGAAAAAGGATAATTGGGAACAATAAATAAGATTAAGGTTTGATTCAGAGCAAAACCAGAACGTATGCACCCTGCTTCCCGTACCTACATCCCGAGATGCTCGAGCCCAGAAGCAATGCTCCCCTACACCTCGCTAGGGAAAAGCGGCTTCAAGCTAGCCGAGGCCAGCAGTGTTTTCCATATGTCCAGAAAACTGGCAGAGCTGGCTATCACCTGGCATGACATGGAGCGAGCCGAGGCAAGAGGCAGCAGACAGTATTAGCCTTTCCTCCAGCAATAGCTGGGGAGGTTCAAAGCCAGTTACCACTCCCCAGGTTAAGCTGTTGGGAGAGATAAGGAGCACGCTTCTGATCCGCCTCGGTGTAAATCAGTGAGGGTGCACTGCACTGACACACGGGGTGGGAAGACGCGAGGACAGAGCGCAGGTTTGTTTTGGGTAGCAGCGTTAGCAAAGTCTCGGGCTGGCATGAAATGTCAGCTCAGCAGCCGGGGAATAAAGCCTTATTTATTCAGAGGACGGAATACAGGCACCGACAGGCACTTTCCCAGGGCTCGGCGTTGATCTGAGGGACTGCTCTGCTCACCAAACCCTTGGGGTCCGTGCCAAGGCTACAGCCAGAGACACCCAACATCGGCAGCGGTCAGAACAGCGACTCGAGCAGGTAAACCAGCAAAGAGCCCCACGAAGCTACTGAAGCAAGAGGTGCTCCGTGGGGCGAATAAACTACATTCTGCGCAGCAAGCAAGGTCGGCGGGAGCTTTGGTATCAAGCTTCCTTTCCATTCCTCCTAGGAAAACAAAGTTACCCTACGCTGAGAAGCCCTCCTCTGTACCAACAGCAGGAACCTGAGAAATCAATGTATCCTCACAAGTCATTAAAAGACCTTTGTATAAGTCAGGCAATTGTGGCAGGAAGGAAAAAACACTGTTCAGAGAGGCAGGTCATTCTCTGGGGAGAGCCCTGCCTCTCCCTCCACCCCTTTATATCGAGGGCATTTGCTGCTGTTTGACAAACAGACCCGGCCTTACCACGGGAATGAATTTATCTGGTTTCTTGCAGAAAAAGGCAGCAGAAGTGGCGCTTGAGCCCCCAGCGTGAAGCCCGGGTGGGAGGGCAGAGGTGTCGGGCAGGGCTGGCCACCCTCAGGGGCTGCTGCAGAGCCAGGGCGAGAGGCTGCTGGCCCCGGCTGCAGAAGCAATTATATCTGGAGCTATTTTAGGATTACTCCCTAACCACCTGGAATATCTTATTAGAGGGAAGCTCAGATGTCCAGAGCAATTTTGTTTTCCAATCCTACATTCAAAAGCCAGTTTTAACCCTGAGTTGCCAAGCAGACCGAAAAGGAGGAGACAAACACCTTCCTGCTTGTCCAGCCCATTCTTCTGAGGACAAAAACCTTGCAAACAAGCAGCCTCAGCCCCTCCCTGCGGGACACCTACCTCTCATCTCACACGTTTGTCCCTCCCGGAGACTTAGAACTAATGAAAACCCTGTGCTTGATAAAAAAAAAAGCAAAGTATTGACGCAAACGGAACAGCAGCTCATCGTCTGCTTCTCCAGTTTTGCCTGCACAAATTGCAGTTCGTGTGCAAGCGGAGACACTGATGAGAAACTGGGAATGCTCCTTTCCCAGGTCATTCCTGCCCCCCCGCCCCAGTTTCACACAGCTGTTTGAGGGGGGCTCAGGTAAAGCCCACTGAGGTTTTACCAGACTACAAAGTTGTATTCAAATGGCAAACTCTGAACTGGACAGAACCCACTAAAGCTTTAACACGTAAAAGAAAAGAAAACTTCCAGCACGGAACTCCGAATCATTCGGCACCTCCTTTACAGCAGAGCTGCAGTTTTGACAGAGGTTTTATGCCAGAAATCTGCTGAAAAACCCACTTAGGGACAGGGCTAAATGTTGCAGGGAAAAAAAAAGCCCCTCTACTACCCCATGGGTTAACGAAAGCACCGAGTCAATGAAAAGGTACGGGGGCAGCAATTTCAGGATTATCAGGGAATCCACAGAAATTCCTTTTGTGGGTAGAGTTAAGCCTTAGGAAGTGAAACAGATGCTATTATAAAGAAAACTGTTGTACTACAAAACGCTGATAAGATCAGGACTACTGCCCTGAGCTGCAAGTTCTCAAGCATGGAGAACCAAGTTATAATTACTGCCTGCACAAGCTGCCTGCTAAAGCTCTGCTGAAATTGGAATAAACCCTTCCCACTCTTCCTAATAACAGAGCTCAATTCAATATCTTCAGGCTTCAAAGACGGGTTTTGAAAACATCTTAGTGATTTCAGGAATGGCAGGGAGGATGGGGAAGGAAGGAAAGAACGGACTGAAGTTAACAGATTAATTGCCTTTTTTTATGACGTTTCTTTTATGTGCTCCCATGACCTAGTGACTGCACCACCAGCACAATACTTTGCAAAACAGGAATCTGCTTCCTTATCCTTAAGGAAAAGTTGGACTCTCTGTGAATGACTCCTATTCACAAATACTCAGAGGAATTAACTAAAATGTCAGCGACAAGCAGATTTGTTCTGCGCTGTATGGCTGTGGGAAGAGAAATTCTCACGGCCACATGAGAGTTGCAGATTTACCCTGAAGTGAGAAAAATCGAAGTGTAAGAATACAACGCAGTCGAGCTCCTTCCACCTCCTGTCTCCAGCGTTAGCTGCAGTTCCTATAAATTGGCACCAAAGGAGACAAGCTGCAACTACTCCTAAAGATAAATCTCGTGCCCAAACAAACCCCCAAACGAGTCATATCTTCCCTGGGATGCAAACGAGCTCCTCGCGCTGCTCCTTCGCTCTGCCTACAGCCGCTGCAATACAGCATAAGCTCGATGAAGGTTGTGGAATGACCCCTTGGGATGAAGATCTAGGGGAATTCTCTGATCCCTGGTACCAGTTGTTTGCAGGCTGCTGCCTACAGCCAGTATCGCAAGCGGTTTCTTGGCTCTCCTCTCCCATGCGCTATTTGGTCTATTAAACAACAAGGTGACTTTATTGCTCCAACCACCGACGCTGTACTTTAAATCACGTATCAGCATGAACTCCGGGTCAGGTGCTACAGCGGAAGCGGACTGTCACAGGGATGAAGGCTTCATCAAAAGAAACCTAAACCCTGAATTTCAAGAGAAGTGGCAACTGGCAATCTGAGAATCAAAATCTAACAGAAGACAGCTTTCAGTAAGAGGGGCCAAATACCTAACAGCGGCTATTAACGAAGAATTCTCCTCCCACCACATCATAAATAGAAAAACACCCAGTTATATGCATAAGGAATTAAAAATCCAACCCTTGAATTGGGCCCTGGATATCTGAAGTAACTAGGAGGTGAAAAATGCACCGCGTGAAATGCAACATTTTTCTCCCCGGGACCTTCCTCCCCCTGGATTAACGCGCATCTCCTGAGCCATACCTCAACACGCGCAACACTTGAGGCACATACTTAAGGTTATGGAATCTCAACCACTCATTCCTAGACCCTAGAGCAAAAGCAAAGTAATTATTTTAAGCTGAGTTCTCTTCATAAACGCCACGACCTTTGTAAAAGTTTAGGTCAGGATTTTCAGGAGTGACTGGTGATTTCGGAGAATCCTACATCCCCCCAAACCAGACCACAAACCACTCTCTGAACAGCTCTTGATGGAGAGCTTACCTTGCTGCGTTTAAGGCGCTGTTAAGTACCGGCGGATGCCTGAAAACCTTGGCTTTACTTTGACATTCCATGAAGGAATGCACATGCTAATGTGCGCGCTGTAGTAACAGCCGGACAAAATCGCTCGTGCTAGAGGACCAAGCAGCACCAGCGAGATTGCGGCCGTGGTCCTGCCTCTCCCCAGCAACCAGAGACACCGCCAAGCGCTGCAAGAGCCCACGGGATGAGGACCCACACCCAAATGTCTGCTAAAACCAACATTTTTCACCTGTGGAATGAAAAACTCATTTTTCTTCAAAGACAAGGAGCCCGCAAAGCCCTTCTCGAGGATGGCTGCGGGAGCCCTCGGCTGTCAGAGCCGTGATGGATTTGCAGGGGCCTCGAGCGAGCCCAAGCAGCGAGCGAGCTGGAGCACACACCCCCTCGCCAGCTCTTCTTTCGGGACTGTGGCTCCCTGAAAAGCAACTCTACTCCCTTGTTGTTTTGTGCTGACAGGATTCCCACCGCCCCCATGTCATAAGCTGAGCCAGCTCTTTTGTCTGCCAGCTTGTTCTACAATTATTTGCTCGGCTGTCCGAGACCAAACAGAACGGCGCTTCATCTCGCTGGTAGTTTCCACCTCTCTGCTGCCTTCATGCTGCACACCTTCCAGGCAATCTTTGCCTCATGCTTTCAAGATACATTTTTCTCAAAGGGTGTCACAATCCACACTTGAAAGGAGAAATAGCAGTGACTTTTTCCTCCTCCTCTTCCACAAGCAACAGCCATTATGCATACCACAAACGCTCCCAGAGCGGAGCTAGCTGGGAGCAGTGTGTGCTGACTTACAACCCTCCATCTCAACAGAAGCTAAAAAAAGACAACTTCAGGACTCATTTTGAAAACAAACTGGAGAACACAGGCACTTCTGCATTTGAGCCTGGTTTTTCTGCCTAACATGACCATTTTACACAAAAACAAAGCCCGGTATCTTTAAAGTCTGCCTTTGAAACGAAAAATTTCAAGGCTCGCTCTGGGTCAGCGTGCTACCATTTCGCATACAGAACTACGCTGACAGTCCACGGTCGCACGCATGTTTCTCCCCCTCTGCTGTCACACCAGCTAACAGCTCTTGCCCGCTCCCCCGGTTCAGTCCTACCTCCACGCAGCCCCCGGCTCACCAGCTCTGAACGGGCACGCCGCGGTTAAATTTTTACTCCCTGGTATGCAGACTCCACTAGTGAACGCAAACAAGTTGATCTGCAATATTTACCCTACTCCAGGTGAATACACTGCACCAGCATCCCCAGTACTGGGCACTTCCACACGGCCTTTGGAGCACACCGCAGCACCTTAATAACGTCGCTCACCAGCGTGACTATGCACAGAAACCGTGCCTCGCTGGGGCAGCCCATCGGGCCCAGGACTCCAGTGACAGCAGCAAGAGACAGTGTTTTGGGACAACACGTGACGCTGCCCGCTTTCTGCCCTACGCTCTCGCCATCCATAGCTGCTGTAGCACAGTGCACCCCAGATATCCCTTTATAATCCATTCCTTAACTCCGTGTCCACGCATTGCACCAACTCCTTTCTTCACTGCCGTACTGCCTGCCTCCCCAGCAGTGAAACAGATCACTTCAGAGCAGCAGCAGGAGGGTTGTTCTTTTAGTTTTGCTTCCTGGTGAAGTTTTGTGTGCTTTGGCTTCCAGAACAAGTTGGCCTGGAATCAAGCTAAGCTGCAGCCTACCACCAAAATACTTGATTACTGCTGAAATGGGCCAAAGTATCTGGAACAGTATTAGTGCGCAACATTCCAATTGTAAAACAGGGGGTTTTTCTTTTTTTTTTTTCCTTTTTTTTCTTTTTTTTTTTTTTTTTCCCCTGATTTTCCACATCAGCTAAGACCAGATCTGGCATGCTTATGGTCATTTGTCTTCCCAGAACAGGGCAAACGACCTAGCAATCAAGCCTATTAATTAAGATTCACAGGACTCTCACACAATCAGCAAGAATTGCAGCGAAGCACAGTGACATACTCACTAGCACCGGCCAAGCTAGAAATAAAAACCACCAAAGACCAGTGCTAACTTTGGTGTTTGTTTTTCTTTTTTTTTAGAAAGCGGTCCCCTAACACCAGAGTCCTGCCTGCTCTTCTCCACCCAGCGACCTGAAAGAGGAAGTTTCCGCCAGTCACTCTGCTCCAGCAGATTCTGAAGCAATTTCTCTAGCGACCGTCCCCTGCCCGACATACCCACCTCATTTCTCTGCAACCGCTTGAGCAACTCCTTTCCCAACCCAACCCCTCGAGAAGCAAGCGCAGAGAAAACAGAGAAAGGCTGCTCCGCCAGCACGCTTCATAGCCAAACACGCCGTTCACCTGGCAGCTTAAAGGAGTTCCTGCCGCAGGTGTCAGTGTAGGAACACCAGACTGGGACAGTTTTGCAGGAGCAGCTGGACAGGAGCCTACAGGCCACGCCGAATGGAATGGGAGAAGAAATAAAGCTTGCTGAGATTTAGCAACTCCTTGAGCGGCTGCCTGTGACGGCACAAATCAAACCGTCTTGTGCACGCTCCCCACAGCTAAGGGGAGAGCCTGCCCTGAGCGTCTTTTCATGAACCTTTAACCACCTGCGGTTCACCAGCCACCACGCAGCAGCTCCAGCTTTTTTACTTTACATAGAGCTTGCAGAAGGGAAGGAGAAATCGGCTCTCTGTGTGTTCATAGAAGTTTTCTTAGTCACAGAGCCCCACCTGAAGCAGAACCTAACTTCAGGCTCAGGCTGACATCTCGGCACAGGACAACGCGGCCCAGTTCTTTTCTTTCTTCCAACCATGCCGTCCTGCGGCTCACCTTCACAACGCACAAATACTGTGTGCGTCTCTCAACGCCTGCTCAAGTCAGCTCCGTAACAAAACAGCACCCAACAGCTACATGAACTGAAACACCCACTTTCAACAAAAAAAAGAATTCTCGAGCCTCTGGCTTTTATCTACAAGGAATAATAATTCTTCATTCAAGCACAGAATTCACCTCCTACCAAAACCAAGCAGGAGCAAGTTAGTTCCTTCCTTCCCACCCGTGAAATGCCAAGCGGCTCCGCTCCCTCGCAGCAGGACACGCGCTCTGCCCGCACCCCTGAGCGGATACCCAGCCAAAGCCCTGCACCCGGAGCTCCTACACGAAGTGGTTAGAGATGTCGTAGGCGAAATAACTTCAGTGAGACATTAGCAGGCAAGTGTCTGCACCAAAAATAAATACAACACCAGCCCGTTTCAACCTGAATGGCACCGCAGCAGTGAGACAGAAGATAAATGAGCCACAGATCAAGCCTCTACCTCCCTACTAAGGTTCTTACGGACTGGGGCTTCTATATCATTAGCTGGAAATCTGCATCTGTAAAGCAAATCAAGTTCTGGTGAAATCTCTTTATAAAAGAATAAACGTGGAAGAGTACGCCAGGGAAGCGTCGCTCCGCATATGCCCAGTTCTCGCGCTCTTTCCAAAGCGCTTGCAAACAGCCAGAGCTGGTAACAGGACACTGGGCTAAAGAAATCCTCGCTCCGACCGAATACAGTTGTCCTTAGTTCGGAAGGAACGTTAACACTGACCTGTTTGAGCTGCTCGTCCAGCCGCCAGCTCTGCCGTCCAGCCGGGGAACTAGCATACGGCTGCTTAGTAGTGTCTTTACCCTGTTCTTCCTTGCCCTGCTGTCCCCGCTGGTGCCCCGAAGCCGGGAGAGGATTAGAGGTAGAGGCCACTCTTTGGTTGTGATGGGCAACTTTGGGAGCATGAAAATATTTCAGAGCGGAGCAGGTTTCTTTCCCAGTCACGTCAGCGCCATCCTCCAGATCGCCACCTTCCAAACCCCCTTCCTCTTCCTCCTCCTCCTCTTCTTCTTCCTCCTCCTCATCTTCCTCCTCCTCTTCCGGCTCTGAATTCATGCTGCTCTGATCAAAAGCCCGCGTAGCTCCTCTGCGGGGCCCCCTGCTGCTTCTGCTGCTGCTTCTGCAGCTGCTCGACCACGGCTTCCAGCTTCATCCTGCAGTTTGCATGGCTGGGAGAAGAGGGGGGTGTGCGAGGCTCAGTCTGGCAGGGCTCAAGCCGCAACCTCGGGAGATGGGCGGAATCTGAAAGATAGACAAATATTTGTCCGTATGAATATAAAATGCTTTCATCTTTTCCCCAGGAAGAGGATAAATAGAGTGCAAAGCCAATACTCTTTCCTGTGCAGGAGACCGTGAAACAATCAGCTTCATGTTTAACAGCCTCAGGCTCAAACTTGCATTCAATTTTCAGACTGTTTAATTGTATTTTCAAGCCGAACACATTTGCTATAACGTCAGTTTGATATACCCCAAAGACAGCAGCTGAAATGCCTTTGTCCGCTGTCCCAGCAGTTCGGGGTAGTTTTTTTTTTTTTTTTGTCAGAATCCTTCCACGCTTCCTAAAGAATTGCTTTTGAAATGTTAGGTTTAATGTGGAGGGTTCGGCCCTTCTACAAACACTGCCTTAAAAGGAGATAGCCAGGATGATAAGCTTGGCCATATTTCTATTAAAAAATGGGCAGGAATTTATCGCACACCAGTCATTTCTCGATTCTTCTATGCTTTCATGACATCGCTAAATTCTTTACACTTAACATGTCTTTCTTAAAAAAAAGAACTATAATTAGCCATTGTCTTCCCCAAGGAGAGCGAGACGAGAGCAGAGCAAAGACCACCGTAGCCCGAACCGGGCTGCCGAGCAGCGAGCAACTCCTGCCTCCGGTT